CTTAGCAATTGCTTCAATCCATACAATGACTTCCTCAGTTTGTAAACGTGAGATTCTTTACCAGTAACTTTGAACATTCAGGCTGAGTCATAAAGATTTTCTCTTCCAAATTCCTATAGAGAAATGTAGTCTTGACATTCAACTGCTCTAGCTCAAGATCAAATTGAGTTACAATGGACAATAACACACGGATTGAAGTGTGCTTCACCACTAGTGAAAATACCTCATTGTAATCCACCCCCTTCCCTCTACGTGTAGCCCTTGGCTACCAACCGTGCTTTTGTATTTGATGTCATTTGTTCCTGGAGAACCTTCATTGGTTTTCCCTTCTGCAATTTGACGAGCTCTCAAGTATGGTCCTTGTGAAGAGAATTCATCTCCTCATTCATGACAGTTTTCCATTCCCTACAATTACTGTTGTTTATTGCCTCATGGAATGTCGATGGCTCATCACCCACCATGGTAAGTGCACAAAATAGCATATCTTCAAACCATAATGAACTGGTGCTTTAACTGTCGTTCTGGTCCTCCCAATTGCTAAAGATGGTTGTGGTGGTTGCTTTTCTAATGTCCCTTGTCTAGAACAATATCTTCTGGAGTACTAAGCTCCACCTCCACAAGATCATCTTTTTCCTCCTCTATCTGAATGGCCTTCTGCTTACTGGAAGTTAGTATAGTAGACTCATCAAAGGTCACATTTCTACTTATCACAAACTTGTGCAATTTAGGGCACCATAATCTATAGCCCTTCACTCCAATTACATATCCAAGAAAGATTCCCTTCTTAGCTCTTAGGTTAATCTTACTTTATTTGACATGAAAATAAGTTGAACACCCAAAGACTCTGAGGGAACTATAATCAATTGGCTCGCTTGACCATACTTCATAAGGAGTTTTACACTTTATAGCTGTTGATGGTGATCGATTGGCGAGAAAACATGTCATGTTAACTATCTCAGCCCATAATTCTCTACCTAATCTAACATTGGATGACATACACCATGCTCTCTCCAATAGAGTCCAATTCATTCTCTTTTCAAATCCATTTTGTTGTGGCGTTCCCCTGACAGAGAAGTGTCTAGCAATACCTTCATCTTCATGGAATTTCAAGAATGGTTTGCACATGTACTCACCACCATTGTCAGTTCTAAACTGCTTGACCTACATGTCGGTTTGCTTCTTAACCATGGCCTTCCACATCTTGAATGTTTCAAAGATTTCATCCTTAATCTTCAGAAAGTATACCCATACTTTGCAGGAGAAGTTGTTAATAAAGTCAACAAAATATCTAGATCCCCCTTTTGAGACAACCTTTGAAGGACCCCAAACATCCAAATGGATGGAGTCAAGAGTGCCTTTAGTGTGCTAGATAGTTGTGCTAAACTTCACCTTGCATTACTTGCCAAAGACACAATGTTTGCAGAAATCTAATTTGGTTGTCTTGATGCCACCAAACATGTCTCGTTTACTTAATACTGACAATCATTTCTCACTCATATGGCCCAAACGCATATGCCATAGATAAGTAGAGAGTGAGTCATTATCTCGTGATGTAGACACTGCTGCATCATCTGTTACTGTACTACCTGATATAAAATATAGATTTCCTTTCTTGTTCCCTTTCATCATGACTAGAGCACCTCGAACAACTTTCATAACTCTACCTTGGGCCACAATCTTACACCCATTGGAGTCTAGTGCATCCAATGAGATAAGGTTCTTCTTCAACTTAGGAACATGTCTAACTTCAGTCAAAGTTCTCACAATTTCATTCTGCATCTTAATTCTGATAGTTCCTACCCCAACTATTTTGTAGGCCAAGTTGTTGCCCATCAAAAATAGTGCCACCGTTCACTTCCTTATAGTAAGAAAAATCAGTTCCTATTGAGACACTTATGATATAATCAACCACAATCAAGAATCCATCCATCTAACGCACTTATATTGTGAGGTGAAACTGACATAACTTTTTTGGCATTATCCGAATTATTTTTAGCAACATTGATAGTGTCAAACACCTTATCTTTATTGTTTTGATCCTTAGCCTTACGCTTCGGACAATCAGATATCTAATGCTCCTTCTTATGACAATAGTGACATTAAAAATTCTTTTGATCTTTAAATTTGGATTTAGATCGAGATCTACTACTTCCTAGATTTCTGTTCTCTGTCCTCTCTCTGGAAAATCGACCCTCCGCTTGAGAGTCATTACTAGAAGTCTTCTTTCTAAACTCATTAGAAAGAAGTGATGAAGTAATAACATCGAACTCGATCGTATCCTTCTCGAAGAGTAATGTGGTGACTAGATGCTCGTACGAATTGGGTAGCGAGGTAAACAATATCATTGCTTTGTCTTTATCTCCCAACTTAGAGTCCATGTTTAGTAGCTCAGAGACAATTCTACTAAACTCGTTAAGATGCTCATACATGATTGTATATTCCTTCATACGAAACGTATAGATTTATTGCTTTAGGTACAATCAGTTGGTAAGAGACTTTGTCATGTAGAGGCTTTCCAATTTCAATTAAATCTTTGCAATCGATTTCTCTTGCATGACATTGTACATAATCTTTTTTTCTAGACACAACCGGATGGCGCTGCATGCCTGGAGATCGTATTCCTTCCATTCGTTGTCATCCACATCTTTAGGTTTACCTTTCAATGCTTTGTGTAGNCGGTGCCCTCCGAGTCGATGACCAATACCGCGACTTTGAACCATACGCCATGATCATGCATGTGAACTAGGTTGTCAGCACCATGGTTCAAAGTCGCGGTATCGGTCATCGACTCGGAGGGCACTGAGACACATCGNTTCAATGCTTTGTGTAGTCATTGTTGGATTAAGACATCTTTGACTTGGACTTGCCAAATTCCAAAATTGTTCCTTTCGTCAAATTTCTCCACCTCAAACTTAGAATTCGACATCTTTGGAAGTTTCATCACCATGACTTTAAAACTTGATTTGGTGAGGTCAAAAAAAAAAAAATTGGTGCAGACAATTATTATTCCTTGAATATCACTATATAAATAGTACTCANGTGGTGTCGCAGCGTCGTATCGGCTGATACGCTCAAAACGCTACATTGAAGACCCAAAAAAATATAAAAAANATAGTACTCATGAATAGTATTGATGAATAGTAATCATATATCGTACTAATGAATAGTATTGTATAAACAATACTCCATATATACAATACCGTATGAACAATACTCGTATATAAATAATAACCAGAATTGGTATTGGCTCTAATACCAATTTATTGCAGAACTTACCACAAGAATCGAATTTGATTGATACTAACACTCACACTCAAGTGAAAAAAGAAGAGAATCACACAGGACAAAGAAATTGATGTAGTTCGACAATTGCCTACGTCCACAACTACAATGATCAGAAGTTTTCATTATTTTGGAGTAAACAAAGAATACAAGAACAATTATTTCAAACCTCACAAGTACTCGTTTTGACAAAAGATGATCACTCTGATATCTCACTAGTATCACTCACAGATTTGAGTACACTCAAATTGATATCTGATATTACTCGGGAGAACTCACAACTCTTAAATGTTTGAACTCTTAATTTTCTGATGTTTAACTTCTGTTAGGACCTCCATTTATAGAGGGAATTTGGAGAGGAAATAGACAAATCTTCATATTAGTGCAAATTTGCACCTAAACTGTGCATCCACTCCTGAGCCCATTTTTCCTTGCATAATTCACATGTAGCCGACCTATGCCCATCACCTATGTTACTCATTTTGTCAAAATGATGGGTCCCGCTATGTCCATGCGGGAGCCTTGTCATGACTTCCTTGCCAAAAGGTTCTTGCCACATTAAAGGCTTTGTGCTAGAAAGGCCACAAATTCAACTTTCGTGTCATTTTGATTCCTAGGATAGACGGATCGTTATATTTTTGACGGAACAATTACGTGTTGGTTACATGATATTATCATAAAAAATGATACATTATCACTTCTATAATTAAAAAATTTAACGGATTGTCTGATTAGAGACTAAAGTGACATGAATTGAATACTTTAGAGACCAAATTTATAAAATTAATACAATGAAAACTAAACTGATAAAAAATATATACTTTAAAAATAAAAATGGTATTAATCGTAAATTTTATCAACAAAAGAAATCTGTGTTTACCTTCTGCACTGGAAAACTGTTTCGCATTGAAAAGGAGAGAGGAGAAAAAGCATGAAAGTTGCATGGGCTTGCTAGTTGCAGACAAGCTGTTGAAAGTCTTATTGTAGGCCACTAGCCGTCGGAAGCTATGCACTAACACACCCATGGTTCTCTAAAATAATAGTACTTTTACTTATTTGGATATTAATTTGAGAATGTAATGTATTACTACACTTATATTGATAGCTGAACCCATTTTATTTTGAGGCACACTATAAATTTATTGGATTTTTTTTTCAACGGTCAAGAATGTTCGAGTTAATTTACACGCATCTCGATTAATTCCTCTCCGATCTGGTCATAGGCATGTTAGTTACATCGGAATTAAAATATTCATGAGAGATAAATCTCTCATAATCCAACTCCAAATATTCAAACTCATGACGTGTGATATAGTTCGTTTTTATTATTACTTAAGTTGTACTTCGAGTTAGTATAAATCTATCGACGATAGTGCAGTTGTTTCTCTAGTTAGATTCCAAAGTATCTCCAACTGTTAAGGACCAAAGATTCCAAGAGGCCTCACATGCCTATAAATACCGAAGGTTACAACGAGCTTTGAGCACCTTGCTTGCTTAATTGCATCACGCTCTCTCTCTGAGCTTTGAGCACCTTGCTTGCTTAATTGCATCTCTCTCTCTCTCTCTCTCTCTCTCTCTCTCTCTCTCTCTCTCTCTCTACACCCTCATGGCTCAAACAAAGCTAATCCTTCCCAGTCTTTCTTTCATGCTGATTTTAACCCATGAAATTCTGTTCAGTGAGGGAAGGCAGTTGAAGATAGATTATAAAAATGAATTCCCTAGCCTCCAAACTCACACAAAGATCTCTGAGAAATAGAGCATAGCAAAAATTGCTCATGAACACAGTATCAACTTGCACGGTGACAAAACAAACAAAGCAGCATATGCAGCTGACGCTGTACCTGCAGCACCAATGACACCACAGGTGGCACCAATGCCAGCAAGTCCGGCAGTAGCAGGGTCTCCACCCCCGCCACCACCTCCACCAGGTCATGTGGATGACTTCCGACCCACGGCACCAGGTCACAGCCCCGGAGTTGGTCATTCCCTTCAAAACTAGGCCTAGAGTTGGCCAGAGTGTCTTCCATTAGCGTTTAGAATGTATGTACTATCTACCTTTCATTGCACCAAAAAAAATTGTGTGTATGTACAATCTATCATTTTTTTTTCATTTTCTTTTTTGTTTCAGTGTATGCACTATCTTCCTTTGATTGATGTAAAAAAGTGTAAGTTAAGATTTTGGGTCTTCAGCATGTAAACATATGTATATTAATGAATATGCTATTGTCTTTGTATTCAGCAGGTTTATATAAGTAAAATACAAAAATAGCATTATTTTTTAATTTAACAATGAGTGTGTTCAAACCAACTTATGCATACCTTAACGAACCGTAACTGAAAGTAAAAGTGGTTCAATGCATGGTAACAAGAAAGAAGAAAGCTTACAAGTTTTGCAAATAAGAATGGTTCCCAAGAATGATAAATGTTATTGTAAAGTGTAAAGATACACTATCGCCCAACATTTAAACGTGATTCAATCGTACAAAAAAATTAAAAATTCTAAAACTCCTCACCTTACTTTGCTTTCTTGCCATTTCATCTTGGAGCGTGTTTGAAAACATTATCAATTTTTTATTTATTTAAAAAAATAAAAATAAAAATAATTAATTTTTGTTTTTTATTTGGTAAAACGTTAAAAAAAATTCTTTGGTTGCAATTGTTGTTTAAGAAATATATGAAAATTACAAGAGAAAATATGTTTAGTAACCATTTCATTATTTAGTTATTTCATATTACTTACTGGTAAAAAAAAAAAATTCATATTAATTTCCTGCTAAAAAAATAAACAAAATTCATTTTCCCAATACCTTTATTTGGCATAGAAAATTTAGCTTACCATGGGAATAATTAACTGTTCTTGAAGTTACAGGAAAGAGAGAATAAGATTCATTTGATCGTTCTAGGAAATTGTTATTGAAAGATTGGACTAAAAAGGTCCAGTTTTTATAAAACTCATGACCACTCTTTGAGGTTCAATTATGCCCCTCTTCAGGGCTTTTCTTCACTCGTTGTGGTGTTTTCTTCTCTGATGATAGAAATATTGTTCTAAATTATTGTAGTTGATTGTTCATTGTAATAATGATCGGGGGATGTATTATGAAAAAAATGAAGCATCATAATGATTTTTGTTTTCTTTCCCCCTCTTCTTTTTCCTTTTTTTGAGGCAACAATTGCTACAATTATTGAGTCTTCTAAAATTTTTCATGGCCCTCACAATACATTTTGGAGAAGTTCGCATATGAAAATTGTGCCAAAGGGCCTACGGTAAGGATATTAAAATATGATTAATACGATTTGAACATGATAAGAAATTAAAGAGTTTGAATCTTCTTTAAAACATTTGTGTTCGAAATGAGTGGACATGATATGCAACGATTAATAAATGAATATGATATGGTTGAAGTCAATAAAAATAAATAAATTACACAATTCATTTATACACCGGTTATATACGATTCAAATACGACACGGACCCGATATGAAAAATTTGTTAAATATAAAGTAGTAAACAAATCAAGTATGGGTGGAGTGTTTTTTGATACAAACTTGTAAGACAGGATATGAACTTACTTCACCGGACACGATTGACAAGTCTAGCCAAAAATATAGGATCCCTAACTAAGCTTAAGCATAACCTTATTGCTCCGTTTGGTATGATGGAAAAATGGAAGGGCGAAAAGTTGGAAGAATAAAAAATTTGAGGAATAAATAAAACATCATGTTTGGCAAGGAAGGAAAATAAGAAGGATGGAAAAGTGAATGAATTAACTTTCCGTCCAACTCACCAAACTCAATCCTTTCAAAATCGGAAGGAAATTGGATGAAAAGTTAATTATTTGTGTTAAGATGTACCTTAGTTGTCTATATATTATGTATATATTAATTTCATATAAAAATACATTGATAAATTAAGTATATATATATATATATATATATATATATATATTTTAAATAAAATAAAATAAAATAAAAATTTTAAATTTTAAATTAAAAAAATAATTTTTTCATCTTGACTAGGATTGAAAATTTTCGACTTAACACAATGACACGACTCGAATTCAACACAAATTTTATGACACAAATTTCATTATAACTTGTCACGAATTTGATTATAACTCATCACGAACTTGAAAATAACTTGACGCGCAAACAAAAAATATAAAAGACTCATAATTTTATGATTCAACACGAATCTGATACGACACAACTCGATTGTCACTCCTAATCTTAGCCAACACAAAAAAAAATAGTTATTTTTATTTTTCATCCATCTAACCCAAACACAAAGAAAAGAAAGTGTATCATTCCTACTTTTCATTCATGAAGGATATAAAGTGTATCCATCATACTTTCCATCCTTCCTACTAAACGAAGCATAAGTGAAAATAAGAAATAAAAGGCTGCATTTTTGTATTTAAAAAAAACCCCAATTAATAATAGGGTTAATTACAAATTACCCCTTTTAACTGGGGGTACTTTTACAATTAACTCCCTAAAGTTTCAAATACAGTAATTACCCCTTTTAGTTTTCAATATTTGTCAATTAACTTTTTTCGTAGTTTTTAGTTGTAAAAAAAGGCAGATAATAGCCATGTGAAAAACAAGTGATCACCACATAGCTAAAATGGCAAAATTATCGTTTTTTAGATTTCCCCCCAATTCATTGCTAAACCCTAATCACCGTAGCCCCCTCATCTTCCTTTTCTTCCCCAATGTCGCAACACTCATTCTTCACTCTTATCTCTAATGGAAGTGAATTCCCCTACTTTCAGATCTCTCTCTTTTCTCTCTGTCTATAGTGAAACCTTCCCTGTGAAACTCCCTTACTCGCAAATCTTTGTTCCCTCTCTCTTTCTCTCTCTCTCACACACACACACATACATACACAATAAAACCTCCACTAAGAAACCCAACACTCATAGATCTCTCTCTCTCTCTCTCTCTCTTTAACGGTCTTGTGAACCCTCGTCATTCGTAGATTTGTTTCTCTACCTCTAATGGTGAATCTTCTATGAACCCCTTTCACCCACAAATCAATCTCTTTCTCTCTATCTCTCTCTCTCTATAACAATGAAACCTCCCTTATTAAAGTCGAGCTGAATCCCAATGACCCGTTGCAGACATTTTTGGGCCATCAGCATCAGCCACAACCCATAGACACCTTCATCCCCATTGCTCCACAATAACCACCTAGCGTCATTGTCACCACAATCGACACCACACACCAATGAGTTTTTTCCCTTCAAATTATTCTTTCTCTGCTTTGGGGTTGAGCGGATCGGAGTTCAAGGCAAGAAATGAATTGTACTTTCACATTTTAGTAAGTTCTGTTTTGTTAATTTAATCCAATTGAACCTTTGAGGGGACAATTTGTTAAAATTATAACATGAGGTAGTTAATTACAATAACACCCATGATTGAGGGAAAATTTGTAATTAACCTATGCATTATAATAATCTTGTAGGATTGAAACCATATTATTATCTCTCCATCTTAAGCCTCAAAAAATCAGTTTATGAAATCCCTTATGAAGCAATTTTTATAAAAAGATTCCACTAGCATCTTTGTTCTACAAAAGAGAACTTAGATTTACCTATAAGTGCATCTCCAACAAGGTTTCTATTTTAACTATTTAAAAGTACACTTTTTTTTATTTTAGTTACTCACTTTTTTAATACACTCCAACAAATTATTTATATTTTAACTACTTCTTGTAAATATTACTGTACATATTCTGTACCTTTATTGTGATTGTTGGAAAGAGAGAAAGAGACAGAGAGAATGGAGGAAAAGACAGAGAATGAACAAGAGGGGGTGGGAAATGATAGGAGGAGAGAAAAAAAATTATAAAGTATTTATAAAAGTTACTATAGTGAAAACATCTCCAGCATTAAAAGTTAATTTAGCAACTCAAAAAGTAAAATTTTTTATTTTTGTTACTCACTTTTTCAATACACACTCCAATAGATTTTTTATATTTTTAACTGCTTCCTTTAAATATTATTTCTCATTCTTTTTGTATTATTTTTTTTTAAAAATAGTTAAAGGGAGAAAGAGAGAGTGGAGGAAAGGAAATGAGGAGAGAGAAAATATAATAATTTTTTTTTACATATTGTTACAATGATACTCTATAGAAAAAATGCTATTTTAAATGTTTTGAAGATGTTCTGTTGGAGTGAAATTTTAGGATAAAATAGCTAAAATTTAAAAATTTTGTGTACTTTTGCTCATCTCTTGGAGATGCTCTAAATAGTATCACTGTAGCAAAAAACTATTTTAGAACATCTGAACATATTCTATTGAAACATGATTTTTGTGGTTGATTATCTAAATTATAACTATTTTGAAGTTTTACGTCTTGCGGGAGGCGAATCAGGCTGCAGACTTCATGGCTAATTGTGCTTGCTCTTAGCAGCTCAATCAGCGATTCCCTGATTCGTCATCCCTTTCTTTTGGGATTGCTGGCATCCTCGCATTGGATGCTCGACAGACTCCTCACGTTCGTCGTTGAGTTTTTGTTTTCATTGATGTTTTCAGTTATTTTGTTCTATGGGGATTCCCCACTTTGCTTTTCTATTTATTTATTTATTTTCCTGCTTTTGGTGGTGAGTCACCACTTTACTTTTGCTTTGACTTTTTTTCACTTTTGAAGGCTTGGCTCTATGTCCTCCTCCCTTATACTTTTTTCCTTTTAGTTATATATACAGGTAAGGATCTTGCTAAACCCCCCACCCACACTGGGTGACTTTGAAGAAAAAAAAAAACTATTTTGAAGTTTTACATGTTCTAATGGATATACTCTAAAGAAGTTTTAAAATGGTATATTGAAGTACACTTAACAAGAATAATGTTATTGGGATATCAAAATTTGACTTAATTTTTTTTTTTTTTGACAGAAACAATAGGATATATTAAGTAGAACAATCTGAACAGAGGAGTGGCACTAATTTGTTAAACTAATAATGTGGTTTCAGTATAACCATTATATTAACATCAAGTTCTAATATTTAATGGGATCCACAATTAATCAAAGGACTATAATGAATTCAATTAATAAATTAAGTGTCAATAACATTGCTCACTTAACAAAGTACAAAGTTCAAAAGGCTCTTATTGTACGCATGCATATTAACAAATGAAAAATAAAAGCTCTTGCAAACAATGCTTGCCCTTACAGTCTAATTACTTACTAGTGGTATCCCGCACTAGTGCTCTATTTGGTACGGTAGAAAAATAAAATGATGGAAAGTTGGAAAGATGAAAAGTTAGAGGGATGAAAAGTTAGAGGGATAGCTAAAGCATCATGTTGCGTAAGAAAGGAAAATAGGAAGGATGAAAAAGTGGATGGATGAGTTTTTCTTCCAACTCACCAAAATCAATTCGTTCAAAATTGGAAGGAAAGTGAATGAAAAGTTAATTATTTATGTTGAAATGTATCTTATTTGTCTATTTATCTTTTGATATATACATATATTATGTATACATTAACTTCATATATAAATACAATGATAAAATATGTATTTATATATTTTTAAAAAAAATTAAAATTAAAATTAAAAAAAATATCTTTTTCATCTTACCAAACACAAAAAATAAAAAATTAATCATTTTTATTTTTCATTTATCCTACCAAACATAAGGAACAAAAGTGTATTATTTATACTTTTCTTTCTTAGAAAATAGAAATTGTATCCCTCTTATTTTTTGTCTCTCTTACTTTCTATCTTTCCTACCAAATGGAGCATAGATTAATTGTCGTATCAAATCTTCTTACCATAAATGTGCCAATATTAAAGGACGGCCAAGCGCATGAATTTTTCGTTCACAATAGCTGGAATAGCCGAAAAATCTGCAACCTTAACCTAACCAGCCACCACAGAGAACAATCCCTGAAAAAATAACACTGCCGAAGTACCAATAGTGTCAGGCTCAGTAATCCACTTTGCATCATCACCCCGAATCCAATAGACTAAAAGAACATGTCACTTCTTCCTAACTGAAGCATGAAAGAAGCGGGTGTTCGAATCCCCCTCTCGGCGGACACAGGAAAGTTTGGATTTTCTTAAAATCACCATTTTTGTAAATGACTAGACACAATACAATTAATAAATGTAACGTATAGATACTACACGGTTCATTTATATATCGGTTATGCACGATTCATATACAACACGAACTCAATATGACAAGATTCTTTAGATACAAATTAAATCTTTAGTGATGAATTTAGGTTAATAAACACACCCTCAAAATGCAACAGATCAAAGAAATCTTTCACCAACTCCATTCAAAAATGAGAAGATAGAATAAAAGCATATCAATATGGAATCACAGTGGACTGGAGGTACCAATCCAACTTGGGTCCACTAAATTTTGTTTGGGACACTAATTTATATGTATATTGGTATATAAATATCAAGCACCCACACACACCTCCTTAACTTGAGGAAAGTACCTTTCGATTTTTTAAATTACTTCATTCTTGCCGTCAACTGCAACGAAACCTTGTATTCACAGTACAAAATTTGTTTATACTAGTTATGTACGATTCATATATAACACGAACCAAATATGAGATAATTTTTTAAATATAAATTAATAAAAGAGTCGGATATAAGTGAAATATTTTTTTGACACAAATTGACTAAAATTTGACACAAACTCGCCTCAACCGACATGATTGACAAACCTAACATAAAGTATATGATATCTAACTAATGGTAACCTTAAGTGCAAACAAGAAGCTAGAGGCTGCATTTTTGTATACAAATAATAATCTTATTGGATTGCAACCATATTTTACCTCCATTTTAAGCCTAAAAAAAATCAGATTATGGGAAAAAGAGAACTTAGTTTACATATAAAGAACTTTTAACTTTCACTAACATTGCTTACTTAACAAAGTGCAAAGTTCAGGCGGCTCTTGTCCTACTGTATTTGAAAATCAAATCTAGACGGCTCTTGCCATACGCATGCTAAAACCCTCTAGAATTTTCAATGTTTTTAAGAGCTTGGCACGGGTCGTTCTGTAACCTCTGAGGAACAAATACACATAAAAAAAAGGTATATTTTATATTTAAATACACGGCAAACAAAATCCCACAATGGTAACAAGGGAAAAATGGTGGCAATATGTAAGCCCTAGAGGCTATTTTATGCGATACATTAAGTGGCAGATATTTTGACAGCAACAGTAGTCAAAAGGGACTAATGCAAGAATGCACTTGAATTTGTCAACAGTAAGGGCTGATTGGCATGTGGGTTTGGGGAGATTTTGGAATATGGGTTGGGGAATAAAACTCAATAACCCCATGTTTGGTAAATGCATAGTTAATTTAGGGTTTGAAACCTAGCCTCCATTGTGCCCGGGAATTAAACCCAAGTTCATGGGTTTCATGAAATTCACCGGGGGTTGGATTTCATATATGGGTTAATGGGTTTAATTTAACAAATAATATTTATACTCTCATATATCCCATATACATAAACAAATATGAGTTTGGATCAAATTGGTTAAGAGACACAATAATCATTTATATACAAATACTAGTTATTGTCTATGCCTGAAGGCACAGAACAATAAAAAATGGTAAATAATAAATATATTTGTATTTATATCTAAAATCAAATAACAAACATAGAGAAGAGATAAAAAAATTTAACTATCAGTTTGTAGTAGGGGTGAGAGGTGGTGGGCGACAGTGGTGGTGGTAGGAGACAGTGATAGTTGTGGTGGGTGGAAATGATTATAGAGGTGGTGAGGGCGGCAACATGGTGGCAGCGACGGTGATGGTGGCAACAGCGAGGACGTTGATGGTGGCAGTGGCGGTGGTGGTGGGGGGGGTGGTGGTAGTGACGGTGGCAATGGTGGTGGTGATGACGGCAACGGTGGTGGTGGTGGCGGCGACAGTGGTGGCGATGATGGTGGCGACAATGATGACGGTAGCGGTGGTGGCAGTGGCGGCAGTGGTGGCAGCAGCGGCGGTGTGATAATGGTAATGGTACGGCGATTTCAAACATTATCTTTTTTAAAGTATTTATGAGAAATATATTTTTAAAATACTTTTAAAAAGTCACTCTAAACGCACACTTAGTGACCTATTTTTCTATTAAATTTAAGGTGTTAATATTAGTCGTTAGATTAACTTTAAAGAAAAATTTAAAACGATCTCAACCGCGAATAGCAAAAGTTATTTTGTTTATCTTTTGAGATTTGAATTATAAGCTATTTTATTATATAGATATTATCATAATAGTCATATATTCATACGCATACCAAACATGAGTACAGACGGTATTAAATGTTGAATCTCATATTTGAATTTCATATTTAAGTTTGAAAAGTTTTGGACAAGCCAATCCAACCCTTTCAAACAAATTACGGCTTAGTGTTTAACCTTGATGTTTGAAACATCCATGCCTAACACAAACTTTCTTTTTCAGTTAGTGGCAGTTGTCCAACACGTTAAAGAAATTCATTTTTTTAATAAAGTGCACATGTGTACTAGCCGTTGGTGGCATTCACTTTTGGACAATATATATATATATATATATATATATATATATATATATATATATAT